CAACATACAGGAACAATACACCCCTGTGAGGGCAGGATGTATTTTCTAAGAAAAAGTGTATTTTCATAGCGCAGTGCTGCCGCAGGTCTCACCGATCTCAGGGCACCACGAGGGTCATCAGCTGCATCCACTTCACCTCGGACTTGCCTTCCAGGAAGTCCAGGGCTCAGAGCAATCGGCTGTCCTCGAGGTCCTTCAAAGGGTGGAGTCGACATGGATCTTCGTGGACCCGAAGTCGAAGCCCGTGAGCGCTGCTCTTCCTCGATCAGCGCATCCAGCCGCTTGTCTGCCACCCCCACTTCCAAGGGCTCCGCTGCAGGGCGAGTCAGCGCTGGATTCGAGGCCATGGCAGTCAGAGGTTCGTTGGGCTCATAACCTACGAAACCACAAAAAAGGAAAATGCAAGCGCACAACGCTTTTCTTGAGCCAACATCCAATGGTCGTGGTGACCAGTCGCACACCTTCAAGGTGAATGCTGTTGTGATTTCAATTGATTTCATTTCATGAAAAGACGGGAGGTCTGGCATGCTCTTTCCACCTTTCACAGCTTCAATTCTCATGTACTGTATTGAATGTATTACATGAGTGTTATCGTTTTTTTGGTGTAACTCTTTATCGTTTTACAATGAATCAGCCATGGTTTGCTAAAACGGGACCACTGCTTACATTTCTCCTTGGTCCCGGTTTTTTAAAACATCATATGGCCAAGCGAAAAAATAGCGTCTTGAAAGGCATGGACCACAGAAGTGGTGTAAAACTTTCTTCTTCGGTGCGGCACCATGCACATGAAAAAGGACCGGTCCAGTGGCAGTGCAGTGATACTTTCGTTTGGTGGGGGATCTACTTATGAACAAATTCATATACTGCACCACCGACGAAGCAGTAGCATGCGGGTGCATGGAAACCAAACTTGAGGCCGAGGGTAGGTGACGAAAGCTAGCAGGGGTGCATCCGGACTGGTGGGACATCAAGCGGAGTGAGGCAAATGCTCATGAGGTAAAACGTTGTGAACATGTAAGACACACAAACAGCAATGACACAGCCAACCTTAGAATTGAAGTCCCCGATAATTAAGGAAGCGTGGCTGGACTTTGCCACACTGTTCGACGCCTCCGATGTAATTCACGAACCTGTGAGCTTGTTGAATCTGTTGCACCGTATCCCAAAACCTCCACGGAGGAGTTGAACGAGGTGTCCCAGAGGCAAAACAAAGCTGCTTGCATGATTTGTTTGGTTTCTTCTATCGATGTTGATGTCATGAACCTGTGAGCTTGTTGAATCTGTTGCACCGTATCCCGGAGGAGTTAAGCCAAAGTGGATGCCATAAGAGATGCCCGAGAGGTGTCCCAGAGGCGTCCGAGGGGGGAGTTGAACCCACGGGGGGGGGGCCGCCTCCTACATATGAAGTTTTCACGTGATGCGGCGATCCCGAGGATTCCAGCCCCTCACTTGCTAAAGCAAGGACAACTCCAGCTAGCTGGTGCTAGCTTTCGTGATGTGCCCACTGACACAAAGTGGTAGGTGTTGGTCAAGTGGAGTTATATAAGTGGTAGTTTCGTGGCTCGCTGGCTTTGACTCCTCGTGAGATGGTGGGCTCTAAGCCTCCTAAATGCGCTCATTCTTGCCGCTAGTGAAGAAGTCCTCTTTCAAAGCAGGTGAAGTGGTTCGTTTATACAGCCACTGAGCTGCGTGTTCAAGGTTGGTGACTGTTAGGCTCTTACATTCTTGCTGGTGAAGTAAACAAATCGCTTGTTGGCTGACTGGCACATTGGTGAGAAAGTGAAGCACCAGTGCTGCCGTGGTAGGTCTGAACCTTAACTGATATGTCGCTACCGTTGTTTTAAGTGCGTTCCTGATGTCGTTTTGTTGTTGCGACGCCCGACCAATGAAAGGACCCAGATGGAGTTAAGCCAAACAAAGCTGGATGACGTCCATAAATGCGAGAGTGCGCTTTTGCGACAAGAGCACCCACATCATCAACACTCCAAGTGTCCTCAAGGCTGGCACAGCTCCAGCAAACTGGACCTTGACCCAGTCCAGAACCGAGTTCACGTTGGCATATCCTGCCTGAGACTTCCAGGCACTGGCCGTTTGGTGTGCCATGATCCAGAAGTTCTCCGTCGCACCGCCAAACACGTCCCCTGAGCAGTACGGCACATCAACCAAGGTCCAGTTGTAGAAGGGGTTATCTGGGTTGGTCACGTTGAAGATTCCCGTCGGCTTCATGGGGGCCTTCTTGCTGCACATGCCCAGGAGGAAGGTCACCCAGTTCCAGCAAGCCCCTCCACCATGCAAATGGAAAAGGAGTCTGCCAGGATCACCAGGATAGACTACGAATTTAAAGTCTCCATCTAGGCAAGCAGTAGCTCCACCTGACAGTCTGGTTTCTTTTTTGGGATGCCTTTCACCGACCAGAAAAAGAGCGATACTCGTGTGCTTGAAAACTACTCCAACCCGCGGCGCTAGCAAACCTCCCCAACACTGCATTGGTATATCTCCAACTTGTTTTTGACGGTGCACCTGGTTTCACCACTGTCCAACCGACGAACTTCTTCATGCTACACTCGGAGGTGGCCATGTCACAAATCTCATATCCCACCGTCGCATCCAGCTCGCCACTGGCCATTTGCACATGGTTACGAATAGTTTGGATCTCTTCCACGAATCTCCCCGGCAGTAGCGAAGATGAAAGGTCAACACTGGGCGGTGGCATTAAGCTGGGAGAGAAGTTCCCTGCAACAAGAAGCAGCACTCCAACTAGAAGGATGACCAGGGAGATCACCATGAGACCCCCTGCCGAGCACTTCTCCACAGTTGTGCCACACAGGGACTGGCAAATGGTCACCCATAGCAAGATCAATGATGGCAGAACGAACAGGATCACTGAAGCATTCCACCACCACCAGGGTACAATGAAGGAACGAAAGAGGTAGGTCGGCACCAAGAAGACATAGCACAAGACTTCAAGGAAGAGCGCTGCGGCAGAGAGCTTTGCCGGCGTTGCGAGTCTTGTTTGTGAGTCAGCAACGGCAAAAAGAAGTAGGCCATGACCAACGAGGAGAAGAGCCCCCAAGATTGGCCACAACCAAAGGGTCACAAATGCACTGAAGATCACCACAAACAAACTCACCAGCGCACCTATTGCCAGAAGCGTTCCCAGAATCACTGCCCAATTGCATGATGAATCTTCGGCCGCTGAGACTGTCGCCTGCGGGGTGCCAGGCTGAAACAATATTATATAACTATTCTATGAATAATATGTATCATATGTAAAGTATAGTGTGTGTATATGTGATTCCGTTTGGATATCACAAAGGTAGCTCTACCTAATCCAAACTTATCCAAACCCTTCCCAAGCGTCCACGCTCCTTTGTCCTGCGATGTCCAGCCTGAGTCAACCTTGAGCCATTCATTGATTCGTGTGTGTATATATATATGTGTGTGTGTGTGTTATCTCTCTCTCTCTCTCGCTCTCCGTCTCCCTCTCCATATCTCAACATATTTTGCCACCATGAGCCACAAACCTTTCCAGGCATCAACCTTTGGGGAAGCATCTAGTGACCTGGAAAAAGCTCTCCGTATCTACACCAGCGTCCGAGTGCCCGAGGTCTTTCTTGCCTCTCTGGACTGCAGAAGCTGTTTCTCCTCCGAATCGCTCGTCGCCATGGAGAAAGCTACGCCTTGTGCTCTCAGTGGGCACGGACCGAGCTCGCTGAAAA